AGTGATTCTTAAATTCAGAAGTTTGCAGAAGTTCCATGTGGCTCAGCCACCATTTTAATGTTAGGCTTCTGGGGACTGCTAAAATGCCCCCCGCCAACTTTGTTCACTAAAGCATTAAAGGGAAATATGTTTTCAAAGTGGTTTCCCATCCCAGTCTCTCTCTCTCTTTACATCTCATGTCAATTCCATTCTGCGCTGATGATCCCCCCCTTTATTTTGTTTGCATGCAGTACTGAAATCCCCCCCCTTTTTTTTTACACTGGGGATGCTGCCATTTGCCTCCTCTCCAACCCATCTTTCAAATCAATACCAGCAGGAAACCAAACCTCACACAGTTCCTTTTAAACTCCCCCCTGGTGATTTTAATTTTTTTTAAAAATTTCAGCGATCAGAAACTAGTGATCGTCTCATATCGCTAAACTCATGCCACTTGTAAAAAAAAAGTTTAAAGAATTAAAATGAGGGGTAAATGGAGTTTGTACACTGATGAAGGGAGGAGGATGGCAGAAGGTGCAGAATGGACAGAACAGCCTCAATGTGGGCAGGAGGGTGACCTTTCAGGGGTGGCAAAAGGGTGGAGATAAAATCTGAGGGAATCTGTATGCTTTTGAATTGCCTTTGGCTTGGAAGTGAAGCAAGGGGGAAACTGGCACAAAAGCACTCTCAGAAAAATTGGGGAACTAGCAACCAGAAAGCGAAGTGAGTGCAGAAGGGAGGGAAAAGCAATGCAGAATGACAAAGAAAACCCAGTGGACACGCACGGTGAAAACGCCCATGCATAATAGGCCTTATAGCACTATGTAGTAAAGAAGGAAACAAGAAAGATAAATCCATCTCTGTAGAAAATAAAATGGGGAAAATCTACACTATTCATAAAAAGAACATAAGAGACGCCAATGTTGGATCAGGCCAAAGGCCCATCCAGTCCAACACTCTGTATCACACAGTGGCCAGAAATACCAGTGCCATCAGGAGGTCCACCAGTGGGGCCAGGACATTAGAAGCCCTCCCACTGTTGACCCCCCACCAAGCACCAAGAAGACAGAGCATCACTTGCCCCAGAGCCCCTATCTATACCTTGTGGCTAATATCCACTGAAGGGCCTCTGCTGTTGTGTATGTACATTTATTATGAATTAGGATTCAAAGCTCAAAACGAAGATTATATCAAGCTACTGCATTTCTTTTTGTAATGAAGACCTTTGTTTTCAACATTTCTCTTTGGAAAGGTCTCTCAGGAAAAAAACAACTGCCATACAGTGTGAACACTCTTCAACTAGTGTCCCATGAAATACTTAAGGAGAAAAGTCTACAGAAAAAGTTTTGCTTCATATCCATACAGGACCTTAGCTGGACTCTTTCTGAGATAGAGGCCTGAAGGACCGACACATCCTGCCAGCTGTTCTATATTGTCTGCTTAAAGTTAAATATGGCTAATATTAACCTGTCTTTCAGGAGGGGCCTTACACTCATAAATCTTGTTTTATACCTCTAAGTCCCTAGAATACCACTGAAACGAACAGATTAAAACCAGTGGGGAATCATGTGCCATACTTTTAGTCACCATGTTTTTATTTGTGTGCCAAAGCAGCTCAATTGAAACAGAGTAAAAATGGGATAATAAACTTATAATCAGTAATAAAAACACTTTAAATGACTACCAGTGTTTTAGGGTACTTAAGACAAAGGTAAAATATCTTTTCCATTTCTTGAAAAGAGCAGAAGACCTTTGCAAAATATCCTATTACAATGCTTTAAAAGGTACTCAAACCCTTTATATTTCTTCACAATGGCCCTGTATTGCTCAGCTTGGCTACAATTAAAAAGAAAACGGTAAAGGTGAAAGAAGATGCCAATCTGAGGATGTCTGTCTGTCATCCCTTCCATGCCTAATAAAAGTGTGGGACAGTTTCAACTGGATACCAGTGTGAGAGGCAGGGTGAAACCCATTTTTCCCCCATAACTGTTATGATATGAATCAGTGATAATTCTCCACTGTTGTCATTTAATGGAATCAAGATGGGTGTCCATATTTTGCCCGTCTTTTTTCTTTAGGTAAAGGTAAAGATTCCCTTGCTCGAAAGCCAGTCGAGTCCGACTCTTGAGTTGCGGTGCTCATCTCCTTTTCAAAGCCGAAGAGCCAGCGCTGTCCGAAGACGTTTCCGTGGTCATGTGGCCGACATGACTAAACACCAAGGCGCACGGAACGCTGTTACCTTCCCACTGAAGTGGTACCTATTTATCTACTTGCAATTTCTTGCTTTCGAACTGCTAGGTTGGTAATTTCTAGGTTTCGAACTGCTGGAACCAAAGACAGGAGCTCACTCCGTCATGCGGCAACTCGGGTCTCGAACTGCTGAACTACTGACCTTCCACAGCCTGCAGTTCAGCGTCTTAACCACTTGAGCCACCACAGCTCCCTTTTTTTCTTTAAGGGGCCATAAAAGTGCAGGAAGCTGATTTTGATTTGTGATAGCTAAACACTCTCAGCTTTCCAAGTGACCCTGATCCCATTTGTGCTCTCATGTGGTTATAATTTACCTCTAAAAGATTATGGGACCATGGATGTCCTACAAGCAGCCTTTTACCTGTTTGGGTCCTTACTTGGCACATACAGGAAGATAATGTGGGATAAAGTAATGTGGGACTCTGGATGAGAATTCTGATTTGGACATCAACACTGCAAGGAATTTTCAGTGTTACCCTTTGTTCAGTGGATATCATGACATCATTGGAAATAAATACTAATTCCTCTTTAAACGCTTCTATTAGGAAAGAAAAAATTAGTTCCGCCTCCAGGGGTGATGCGAAAATTTAGTGAGCAGAGAAATAATCCTGTGTTTCTGGAATGCCGGTAAGACTCCCATTGTTTTACTGTTATGGTTGTTTTTTTTTAAATAATAGCTTCTTTTATTTCAAGCTACCTCGGGACCCTATGATGCAGGATAAAAGCCTTTTAGATAAATAAGTAATAAACGTTTGATAGCCTGACATGGACTTACATAGTGTCGAGCACATCGATATCATAATATTTAACATTCAGGTAGTGCAGGGATCCCCGTGCTGCCTCCGGGAACTATGTAGGGTTGCCAGTCTTCAGGTGGGGCCTGGAGAACTCCTGGGGTTACAACTGATCTCCAGAGGTCCGAGATCTGTTCCTCTGCAGAAAATGGCTGCTTTGGAGGCTAGACTCTATGGCATTATACCCTGCTGAGGTCCCTCTCCTCCCCAAACCCTGCCCTCCCCAGGTTCCACCCCCAGGTTCCTACACCAGTTTGGTGTAGTGGTTAAGTGCGCGGACTCTAATCTGGGAGAACGGGGTTTGATTCCCCACTCCTCCACTTGCATCTGGCTGGATGACCTTGGGCAAGCCGTAGTTTTGATAAGAGCTGTTCTTGAAAAAAGAGCAGTTTCTGTCAGAGCTCTCTCAGCTCTCTCTACCTCACAGGGTGTCTGTTGTGGGGAGAGGAAGGGAAAGGAGTTTGTAAGCCCCTCTGAGACTCCCTTGGGGAGTGAAGGGCGGGGTATAAATCCAATCTCTTCTCTTCTCTTCTCTTCTCTTCTTCTTCTAAATCTCCAGGAATTTCCCAACTTGGAACTGGTAACCTTAGTGCCATGGTGCCTCCCAGCACATACCAAATGTTTTTAGAAAGTAGGTGGGGCCAGGTGGGGCTTTTGCCCAGCAGGGATTCAGATTGACCTTTAGAGATCTGATTGGCTCTGCCACCACAGCGCAAGGATCTTCACTATGTGACTGAAAGTAAGTTGTGTGGACTCAAGAAAATATTTCTTGAATATGTTCATTTTAAATGGTGCCCCATTAAGCAGAACTTCTACCATCCCTTATTCCAGCCTGTGCTTGGCTTATCACCTGCCCGCCGCATAATAGTTGTAGAACTGAGCTAGTGTGAACATATAATTGGAATATACGGTTGCCTAAGCCATTTTATAAATAATCTTACTCTCGCTTATTAACTCCATTCCAATGTTTATTAATATGTTTTAATGCTTTAGGAGGATTTTAAATGTTCATTTATATTATGTTTATGATTATTTATGTACTTGTGTGAGCTGCCCTGAGTCTGTCTTGGCGGGGAGGGTGGGATACAAACTGAATAAATAAATAAATAAATGTTGACAAGTTATTACTAGAATTATGCATAACCTCAATCCTTGACATTTTGTGCTCAGCTCCTCCTCGTGTGGCAGCCACTCTGTGGTTGCTTCCACCACCCTGTCATAATTCCTAAACTGCCCACAAGCTAGGGCTGCCATTCCCCTGGTAGAGCCAGGGATCCCCTGATTTTGGGGGCCCCAATCCGCCACAGCCCAACTGGCTGGCGGGGGAAGCCATTGTTCTATGGACATTTTAGACACTGATAAAACTGACTGCAGCTCCATATATCATGTCAAGTGATCTGAATTATCCAGTCATAGCTATTCACACTCCAACCACCCTTTGAAAAATAGTTGTGTTCCATGTTGATAAAACTTTGGCTCTCTTAGGCAGCAGGAGCACCGAAGTTCAGAATAAATTATACAAATCCTGCAACTCTTTATTTTGTATATCACTTAACTTTTATGATGGTGTTTTGTCATTGTGTTTTTCACTGTAGCTAGTCTCTGATAGGAAGAAGAGTTTCCAAATCAGAGGGTGTAATTTTCAGACGATTTGTTTCTTTAGAATTTAGGGTCTCTTCTAAATAATGGCAAATATTTGCTACCACCCTTTGCACTGTAACCAGAGACCAGTCACAACTCCTGTACAAGGTGGCTACAAAAAGAAAACAACTTTTTCTAATGAAATATACCTGTCCTCAGTCAGAAAAGACTTACCTCTAAAATACTATTTGAAAGGAGCAGGGCCTGGGATAAGTGAAGAAGTGTTTGAGGTGATTATGGCTGAGGTGGTCATTTGTATTACTGGAGATTCTATCTACTGTAACAAGTCATGTTATGTATACTTTAGAAATAAATGTGTCTTATAAAATTCATATTCAGGATTCCAAAGATGACAGAGGATGTGGCCAGGAATGCGCTTCTCAGCTTTGTCAATTCTAAATGCTGCTATGGCAACAGAGCTGCAGGCGAGTTGGTCATTCAGGAACTGAAACAGCAAATGTTACACCGAGTGAGTATCCCCAGATAACCTTCCAAGAGGTGTGAACTAGAGAAGGTTAGGTATGAGGTCAATAGACTTAGACAGGTAGTTGAGCAAAGTTCTAAAAGCCTCCTGATTGATTTCACTGGGACTTAAAACAAAAGGTCCCAGGGCCCAAGTGCTCCTGGAAAACACACTCTCTTCCCTGAAAGCACTTTTTTTCTTGACTTTTAATTATGTGTACAGCCAGTTGTGGTCAGTACTGAAGAAGGACATTCACACTTCAGTTGCTCAAAGGCACCTGGCTTCCTTATTTCTTCACATCCTTCAAGACTAAGTCCTAATAATTAAAAAAAAAAATATCTAGTGCTAAATCCCAGTTAGCAGTGGCACAAACTGAGCATCCAAACTTCCCTCTGGCTCACATCCCACAAGGATGCTTACACAGTTCTTCATGTTCCAAATCAACAAAAGGATTCCAAAAATAGACAATAATGGTCAGTAATGACACTAATAACAGCAGGCTTATAAATAGTCTACCTGCTGATCATTCTCAAGAAAAGCGCCATTTACGCAGCAGACGGCATCATGTATATTTGGCCTTTTATTCAAACAATTTGTGGAACGCAAGCACCAAGATGCAAGGAATAATGGCTAGCCTAACTAGTGGCTGCTGATCCACTCGAGTGGTTAATCAAGTGAGTAGGGCAATAAATATCAGTTAAAGATCATTTGTTAAATTGACTGGCTTTGAATAGATGTCTCAGGGAAGTAAAAGAGATTATGTTTATTCAAAAGTGGGCTTTTTAATGAATGAGCTTTTTAATTCTAATTCTATTTTTATGTTTATTCAAACAAGGGCTTTTTAATGATGTTCTGGAATTATATAATTCAAGATAATTGCTCGGGTCAGATGTAATGTCAGACGTCATATGATTTATCTTAATTGTGGTTATTGTGAGACCAGAGTTTACTTCACAAATAAGTACTGAATCCTAGTTTGCCTTGAGGAATCCTAGTTTTAGCATTTTCTTTCTTCTTTCTCCCTGCCTCTTCTAAAAAGACATGGCTGCTATCCCACCCTCCATTGCAGCAGCAGACTAATGAAAAAGCTTTGCCACATGTCAATAACTTCATTTTGGCACCATTAACACAAGGCCACAGATCCATGTGCCCTTTGCCTTGCAGCCCAGCAGCAGCGAGGTAAGTCTGGGGGATGATCCACTTCCCAGACTTCCCTACCCCATCTGCTTGAGGCAGTGAAATGGCTACAGGTGTTAACCAAACAAAGCTGTCTTTGGTGCTTAGTTAAACTACATGCAAGGAAGGAGCACACCAGCATCCCTGGACTTTTAAGATGGAGGGGCTGGCAGCAAAGTATGCAGCTGTTGAGGTTTTGCTTTTGACCAGCTCTGGCCAGGTGTCTTTTTAGTCATGGATGGTGTAATGATGTTTGTTTTTTAGATTTTTTTTTTAGTCACTGCACACCCAAAGGGTCTTATGGTGACTTACAGCATTTAAAAAGTATAAATAAGTTAAAAACAGCATCAAAGCAGATAACAAATATAGGCTGCGGTCACAAAGAGCATTTGCCATGCTGACGATACGGATGGTAGGCGGATTTTCCGGGCGTGATCACACCGCAACATCTGGGAAGCGTAGAGCTCCCGTGGCTAACCCGAGGTTTCCCACCGAAGATGCGGAGTAAAAAAATAGTACCTCTGAGGTACTAGTTTCCGGAAAGCCACGGGCCAAGGGCTGGCATCTGATCGCGTTTCCGGTGGACTTATGTGGCATCCGGCGCCCGCTGCTGTTCGTCGCACACAAGTCTCCGCAGGTTGTGCAACAGCGCCCAACAGCGCATGTGCACAAAGAGCGATTGCTAGTGCGATCACATGGTGCGGCTTCTGTGCCGTGCTGCAGGATACCCATCTGGTCGGCATCTCCCCCCTAACCACGGGACTTCGACCGGGACGTGTGCTCGGGCGGCCACGCGTTAGTTTCCTCCGGGGCAATTAGCCACGCCTCCCCCCACGATATCCGGCCCATGTGACCGGGGCCATATAATATTAACATTTATTTAAATATGTGGCTACCATCATACCACTAACAAAACAACCCAAACATGTGGATCACACACAAAAGGCCAAAGTAAACAATTTAGCCTTGCATGCCCTGCAGAAAATAAACAAGTCCAGAGGGTAGAGGCCACAACTGAGAAGGCCCTTCCCCTGTTGACAGCTAACTGAGCCATCCTGGGTCTGGACACCTGCAAGAGGCCCCAAGAGGATAACTGAAGGGAGCATGGGGGGGGCTGTAATGGGAGAGGTAGTCCCATAGGTATGAGGGCTTTAAAAGTTAAGGCTGTCATGTGCCCCTTGGCACTCCAGCAACTGGTGGGGAAAAGGTTTTCATTTTAATTTTTTTTTCCCATACATCAAGGTGTGATGTGACTTCTGGGAAAACCCAGAAGTGATATCACACCTCTCTAAGAATCACCAGGAACTCTATGGTCTTACCATATCAGTTCTAGCAATTCCTAGAGAGGCATGATGTCACTTTCAGTTTTTCCCCAGAAGTGACGTCATGCTGTTGCTGATGGCTGTTGGCCCACCTCACATCCCCATCTGGTCTCCTGCTGGTTGTCAAGGTGGGTCTGGCAAGTCTATTTGTGCTGGCAGGAAACAAGCCAGGATTAAGGTAGGACTCTGCATTTATATGTAAGATGAACTATGATTAGTAAAACAGATCCTGTTTTTATGGAGCCTACCTAATCATAGATAAGGCAGTAGTCCTGTGTTCAGATGATCCACTAACCAATACTAGTTAATTTACCTATGAATTTGCATGTGGTCTGGACTGAGCCAAAGTATAGCCAGGTACTATGTTCCAGTTACTCTAATCATGTAATGGAAAGAACAATTATGAATGGCCAGCAGGGGTGGGGAGAGAAAAACATACAAAAGGGCATAAGAAATACACAGGTGAGGAAGCAGGGGCTAAGCAGTGGAAAAGAAAGATGGGGAGGGGCTGCTTTCCATTTGCTTTCACAAGATGTGAAATATTTTGACCCTTTCGTTCATCACATGCTTCCTCCTCAAAATGGCCCCTAACCCATTCTAGTTGCCAAGCAGGGCATGAGGTAGAAAGTGCTTCCTACTTTTGATACCCAAAAACTCTTAACAGGATTTCATTTCAAATTCCCCCCACAGTATCGACTGGAGACTTTTAATGAAACAAGAGTAAGCGAATGGACTTTTGAGCCTTGTACTAGTAAGTAACTTAGCCAACCATAAATATGAATAATTAATTCTAATTGCATAGTGAAGATTTATGAATTATTTCCTTCTTAGTAGAAAGGAGTCAAACCACTGAATCTAAACAAAAGTTGAATTGCTATGTTGTTGCTCAATTCAGTATGTTAGTATGCAATTAAAAATGTGAAAGCCTACCATTCACAAATGTATGCACAGCAGATAAGTTTTCTTATATTTGCGAGTCTGTAATCTTGCACAGAAATTGCAATGAGGCACTTGGAATATGATGCTGAGAATTCTACCCAACATTTTACAGCCAGTGCTTACTGTGGGGCAGGGGACATTTGGTAGAAAAAGAGGTGCAGGAGCTCATTAGCATCACTCATTAGGATAACTTATTTGCATATGCCACACCCCCTGACATCACCGGCGGTGTGTCAGACGGCAACACCCACTGCAACTTACCTGGCTGCTTCTTGCTCCTTGTGGGCTAGGGCTGCTGGGAGCAGGGGGCGGAGCTTGTTGCATGTGCCCGTCCCCTGGGCTCTTTACTGCCGGAGCTCTGCTCCTGTGCGCTCCTGCAGGAAATGACCCCTGCTGTGGGGTGTAGTTACTGTGGTAGGCATACAGCCACATGGGGAGCTGATCTGGCCATGTGCTGAAAAGCATTTGTTCACAAAGCATCAGCTAACATCTGAGTCACAAACCATCAGTTGCCAGAACATTAAACACTGAGTATCTAATCCCATAAACAGTGCAAAATGTTTTGCTTTAATTCTAACATTATCCATGTAGAAAAGTCAGTACGTTTGACCTCTGTTTTTAGTGGTATTGTATGTGCTAGCAGGCTGCTGTATCACTTACTGCCATTACAGTTCTAATGGTACTTGAAGCACTATATTAGCACACACACTAATGTTCAAAGTATATATCAAAGTTCAAAGTAGATATCAAACACAATCCATATAATATAAAACCTTGTATTAGGACTAACCACAAGAATACAAAACAGTCCTAGTATCACAGGCATGTCCAAATAGAATCAAGGGAACAGAGAAAATGGTGCAACTCATTCACCTTCCCTGCTTGGCTGCAACTAGCATAGCAACTGGGGGTGGTGGTGGTGAAGAGAACAGTAAAGGAAGGTCAAGAGAAAGAGGAGAGTAGGAGGAGGACTCTCCATGTGCTTCCAGTGTCCTTCAGTGATCTTAACCAGCCTAGGCACCAGAAATGATGAAAGAAGGAATGTAATCCATCCATCCATTATTTTCTCATTATTTAAACAAAGGAAATGAATTCACAACCTTAATATTTAATCACCAACAGAGAGCCTTCTTTTTCTTACCAGATTGTTTCCATTCCACTAAAATGGTCAATGAAGCTTTTTCTTTTTTTCATTTTGTACCTATTTCCCCCCAAAAAACAATTGCCTACCGAACTCTCAGGTCAGGCTGAAAAAAGTTCTCAGATCCCTGGCGGGGAGGGGAACAGACCTTTTTAGAAAGTTACCCTTCATAATTACTGTTATGTCCGCTGACCGCCACCAGGGGCCAGCGAATACCCCAGAGCTTGACTCTGTAAGAACAATGGGGACTAGGCTCCTAGTCTCTCCACTTGGGAACCAATAGGACCATGGCGGGAGATTTAAACCCACCAGCGGGACGTAGGGGGGCGTCCCCAGGTGTGTATATAGTTGGCCAGCCGGCCGTTAGTCTTTTTCTTTTGTTGTGTACCAGTAAACCATGCTGATCACTACATCGGTCTCAGTGGTTTCTACATGCGTCTAACTCACTATACTTCAATGGCAACGAAGGTGGGATCCCGCTGAGCAATCCAGCCGGGCGGTCGGGATTCTGTGAGGGAAGACAACACACTGCTACCTACGCTCCTCCGAACGATGAGCAACGAGGGTAAGCAAGCCACTTCCCAGCCGCAGCCACTTCAGACCAGCACAATGGCCATTGCTCCGGGATCAGGGCTGCTACCGCCCTTCAATACAGCCCGTCCACAGCAATGGGGAGCCTGGATCACCAGCCTGAAGCAAGTCCTGATATTCTACCAGGTGACGGATGAGGCCAGGAAGAAGGGCCTCCTACTCGGATCGTGTGGATCCGCCATCATAGAACTGACCCAGTACCTTCTCTCCCCATAGAAGCTTGAAGACTGCACCTTCGATTAAATTGTCTCGGCCATCCAGAACCACTACACGCCCAAGCCTTGGAGATGACGTGCCACATGGTGTTCCACCAGTGGAGTCAGCAAGGCCGTGAAACTGCCGCGGAGTTCCTTGCCAAGCTCCGCCATCTGGCATCCAAGTGCAAATTCGGGGCACACTAGGACCTGGCCCTGCGAGACCGTTTCGTCACTGGACTGCAGGAGGAGAAACTGCAGCAACGCATAATGGAGGGTGAGTTGGTCACCATAGCATTGGCCATCGCCACCACGTGGGAGAGGTCCCACCCCGCAGCCTCCACCATGCACCAGGCCGCCATCACCATGCCGGCAGACCTCGATGGCTCCAGTGTGTGCCAGTTGCGGTGACCAGCACGACAGGAAAACATGCAGGTTCCGAGGCGCTGTTTGTCGGAACTGTGGATGCACTGGCCACATCACCCGGGCATGTCACTCCAAAGCCTCCAGCCAGACCCAGCCACCGCGTCACAGAGCAGAAGCTCACTTAGAGGATAATGCAGCGGCAGAGGACCTCTGCCACCTCACACATACCGCAGAAAAGGTATTGCAATTCCCCGGCAAATCACCCACCCCTAAATTCCTAGCCAATGTAACAATTGGGGGGGTCCCCATGCCTTATGGAGATAGACTCTGGGTCCGCGGCTTCAATCATCTCTGAGGCCACACTGAAACACTTGTTCGCAAAGGGGGGACCCCGCTTGCGCCCATCTCCAGTGACGCTAATGGACTTTCAGCAAAACCGGGTGTCAATTAAGGGGGTCAGGACTTTTCGAGTACAATATGGGAAATTCAAGAGCCGTTTGGACTTGATTGTGGTAGAGGGCGACCTGGTCAGCCTGCTGGGTAGTGCCTGGTTTGAGCCCCTGGGGATTTTGGTTGAGGGAGTCCAGCTTTGTACAACCCAGGATTTCCAAGGGATATGCCGGGAGTTTCCGGTCATTTTCGATGACTCTCTGGGCCGCTATATGGGCTCCCCGGTGTCCCTGCATCTAGACCCCAAGGTGGCCCCTATCCGAATACGTGCCAAGATGGTTCCATTGGCAGTCAAGCCTAAATTCGATGTGGAACTGGACCGCCTAGTAGCCCAAGGCGTCCTGGAACCAGTCTCCCACGTGGCATGGGAGACCCCCATAGTAGTGGTAGAAAAGCCAAATGGGGCAGTCCGCATCTGCGCGGACTACAAATGTATGCTGAATAAGGCGCTACAGGACCATGCATATCCGGTACCTGTGGTTAGCCATTTACTGGCCACCTTGGGGGGGGGGAGATCTTTGGGAAACTGGACCTTGCCCAAGCTTACCAGCAGTTGCCGGTAGATGAGGCGACTGCTTAGGCGCAAACCATAGTGACCCACCGGGGGGTATTCCATGTCAAACGACTGCAATTCGGGGTCAGTGTGGCACCGGTGTTATTCCAACAACTGATGGATTCTCTCCTCAAAGGAATCCCAGGCATCATCCCGTTTTTAAATGATGTGATGATCGCCGCCGCCACGCCGGCTGACTTTGCAGACCGCCTCTGCACAGTTCTCCGCCGTTTCCAGGACGCTGGACTCAAAGTTAAACTAGAGAAGTGTTGGCTGGGGGTTCCATCAGTGGACTTTCTGGGGTTAACGGTGGATGCAGAGGGCCTACACCCGACCCGAGACAAGGTGAAGGCAATCGTGGAAGCCCTGACACTGAAGTCTAAAACAGAACTAAAAGTGTTTTTAGGGACCCTCAATTTCTACCACACCTTTCTTCCCCACAAGGCAGCGGTAGCGGAACCCCTCCACCACTTGCTAGACAAGCAGGCCCCTTGGGTGTGGGGGCCCTGCCAAGCTGTCGCATTCCGGAATGTTAAAGAACTGTCGATCTCCAACTCAGTCCTGGCCCACTTCGATGAGGCGCTACCGGTAGTTTTGGCATGCGATGCCTCACCCTACGGTGTCGGTGCCGTGCTGGCGCATTGTCTCCCAGATGGGCGGGAGGTCCCAGTCGCATATTACTCGTGCACCCTATCTGCGGCTGAGCAGAACTATGCCCAGATAGATCGGGAGGGACTAGCCATAGTGGCCGGGGTCAAGAAGTTCCACGACTTCGTCTATGGCTGGCCGTTCACTATTGCCACAGACCACCGGCTGCTCCCCGGCCTTTTCGCGCCTGATCACCGGACACCGCAGGTCCTCTCCCTGCGGGTCTTCCGGTGGTCCATTTTCCTTGCGGGCTACGATTACTAGCTACAACACTGCCCGGGAAAAGCTGTGGGCCACGCCGACGCCCTTAGCCACCTTCCCCTGCCAGACATGGTTGAGGATCCGGCCCCTGTGCACCTGGTCCTCCAGCTGGAGGGCTTACTGAATGCTCCGCTGCAGGCCACGGACATTGCTGCCGCTCGGCCCGGGACCCCATCATATCCCGGGTGCTGGGCTGGGTGGTGAGGGGGTGGCCTGCAAAGAGAGAAGGCCCTGAGTTCACGGCATTTACGGCCCGATGGGAGGAGTTGTCAGTGCACAAAGGCTGCCTGCTGTAAAAAGACAGGGTCGTGGTTCCCAGCGCACTCAGACAAAAGATTCTCCAGGCCCTTCATGAAGCACACCCGGGCATCGTTAGGAGGAAGGGCCTCGCCTGGAGCTACGTCTGGTGGCCAGGCATCGATGCAGAGGTAGAGGCATGGGTGAAACTTTGCCCGACCTGCCAAGCTGCCCGCCCAGCCCATCGGGTGTGCCGTCCCGGTCATGGGAATGCACACAAACCCTGTGGTCCCGGCTCCACATAGACTTCGCCGGACCATTTCATGGACTGTTATTCCTTGTGACTTTGGATTCCTACTCAAAGTGGCTGGAGATAAGCCCTGTCTCTGCGACATCCACAAAGGCCACCATCCGTGCCCTCCGAAAGATCTTCGCCACCCACGGGCTGCCAGACACCATCGTCTCAGACAACGGGATGGCGTTTACGTCAGAGGAATTCCAGCAGTTTCTCAGCAACAACCTGATCAAACACATCAGGTCGGCGCCATTCCACCCCGCTACTAATGGCCAAGCGGAATGCATGGTCCAGACGGCGAAGGGTTAAGCCGCCTGATGGAGGGAGACTGGGAATTTCACGTCACCCATTTCCTCCTAGTGCAACAAACAATGCCAAACCCTGTAAGCGGTCGCTGCCCAGCAGAACTTCTCATGGGTCGGAGACCAACAATCCTCCTGCACCGCCTACACCCTGATCGGGCTCCCGAGCCACGGAACTCCTCAGAGTAGCAGGAGGCACCTCAAGGGTTCTTCCCGGAGGACTCCGTTTTCACCAGAAACTTCAGAAGGGGCCCGGAATGGATCGCCGGCCGCATCATTCGTCCCACTGGCACCGTCATGTACGCCGTGTCAACAGAATGTGGACAGGTCCTGCAGAGGCACATAGACCAACTCTGTCGGCGCATGCTCCCAGAACACCCAAGCACGGAGGTTCCTGAAGAATGGGCAAACCCAGAGGTGAGCCCCCCAGATGCCCCAGCGCAGGACCTCCCCACCGAAGAGCATCAGAACTTTGCCCCAGTCACCCCGGCGGCTGCCAAGGAGGGCCCGACAACTGACGCTTCTGCGCCAGAGGTGTCTGCACCATCAGCACAGCACAGCACAGCGGACGGGGTCCTGGAGGTCCCAGCACCGGCTCCCCGACGATCCACTAGAGAACGGCGGTTCCCATTGTACTTAAAGGACTATGTGACCTGGGGGGGGGTCCGAACTATGGGGGGAGGGATGTTATGTCCGCTGACCGCCACCAGGGGCCAGTGAATACCCCAGAGCTTAACTCTGTAAGAACAATGGGGACTGGGCTCCTAGTTTCTCCACTTGGGAACCAATAGGACCATGGCGGGAGATTTAAACCCACCAACAAGACCTAGGGGGTCTCCCAGGTGTGTATATAGTTGGCCAGCCAGCCGTTAGTCTTTTTCTTTTGTTGTGTACCAGTAAACCATGCTGATCACTACATCGGTCTTAGTGGTTTCTACATGCGTCTAACCCACTACACTTCAATTACAAAAGATCCCAAACAGTAAGACAGGGGTTACTTGAGGGATCAGTGTTATAAAGGTGAAATTTATTAGTTTCCCCAGAAAAGTAATAAACTCCTTTTAAAGTGATTGGCATGACCTATTGTGTGAAGCAGCTGAAGGCTGCTGAAGAGAGCCTTGTGGCTGAAACATTTTCTTTTACAGTGCTAGGGTAATTTCCCCCCACTATTTGGGAAGGCTTTTGTGATGAGTTTCGGTGGATGCAGCCATTATTGCCATTTGAAAAAGTAACTCTCCTCCAGGACATCTTGGAGTATGTGAGTCACCTTAGTGCCTGTCAAAGTTTTCAGACTGACACCCCTAGAAAGAATGGACATATCTATTGATCCAGAAAAGACAGGTCAGGCAAGACAAACAACACCACAGATAATCCCCAACAGATCAACAATATGCCAGAGACATCCTCAGTTACCAACTAGAGAAATGTAACTCAGTATGGAAAAAGGACGTTAAATATCTAGGCGTTTATCTACCACAAGATTTAAAAAATTTGCCCAAAGATTATTTATTTGTGCAATAATTAGGGGCAGGGGTCATTTCGTAGAAAAAGAGCTAGGGGGACTCATTAGCATAACTCATTAGCATATGCTACACCCCCTGAGATCACTGGAAGTGTGTCCTCCCCACAGCCGGCGGCGACCTCCAGCGGGCACCAGCAGGGAGCTCCAGGCCCCGCCCTCCCGCACCTCACCTGGGGGGATGGCGTCCCCCCGCGTCCCCCCCAAATGACCCCTGATTAGGGGTCTAAATACAATTAAGGATGGTTGACCTAAATGAATAAAGAAGTTATAATCAAGGACCTAGCAGTGTGGGATTCTGTGTGTAAAAGATTTGTTAGCAGTAGTTGTCAGAGACACCAGCAGCAGTAGCTCATCCTGAGGGGAAGAGGGAATTTGATGCTTCTACAACCACTAATCAGTTTCCTACCTATCTTAGGATGAGAGCAGAAGGTACTACTGCTTGTGAGAGAACAGACAAGTCCATTTGGGCGGGGGACCAATCCGTTAGTTGTGGGGAAAGTAACAATTACTACTGCTGCTGTTAAATACTGGGTTCAAGATGCATTGCAGTGGACAGCTCTACTTTATTTAGTGATTTCAGGAACACAACTGAAACCTCAGGGCTGCAGCCCTGTTTAAATAGCATGCAATAAACCACAGCCAAACACACCCCACTCCCAACTATAGGCTATTTACATAATGGAGGTTTCTCATTAGTTACTTCCAGAGTCCTTGTGGGCTATTCTTCTAGAGCTCCAAGCTCAACAAGTCTCTGATATGTAGTTAGGGTTGCCAAATCCTGAAACCTTACCGGCGGGGGAGGCTCCGTCCATTTCGGGAGCCGGCTGTGTGCGTGCGCGCGCCGCCGCAACGTCACCGGAAGTGACGTCAAATGTTGCTGACGTTGGGGGCGTGGCCGAGCTCGTCGGGGGGGAAAATATGGTTTTCAACCCCCGATGAGCTCAGCCACACCCCAAACGTCAGCAACGTGGCTGCGTCACCTCCAGTGACGCAGCTTCGGGGGCGGGGTTCCCCCTGGGCCCCGATTCCGCCGGGGCGGAACTTGGGGCTCCGAAGCGGGGGATTCCCCGCCCCCTGGGGTCATTTGGCAACCCTATATGTAGTCCTGATACATAACAGCTATGTACCCTTTCTTAGTTGTCTACTGTTTTTTTTTTTTCCTTTGGGGGAGGTAGTAGTGGGCCATTATGGGGCCTCACCAGTTGCTCAACAAAGTGGAGCCCCAATGCAAATCCTGGTGATTTTAATTGGTTTAATGGGTTTTATTCTTTTTAACTCTGTGGTGGAGTATTGCCCCGTACATCAGCTTGTTAAAAGACTGGGTGTGGTATTATTTCTTCCTATCAGATGCTTTGGTTGATGGTCCACAGAATGGTGCACCCCCTAGACTATGGGATATTAAAGTCCAAGCTCCACAAACGTTTCAGGAAGATACAAAAAAGTTCCGTGTACCTCACTCTTCTTTAGTCAAGGTAATCCATTAATTGTTTAGTTTATGCCAACTGCTACTGGAATCTTGAAGAACCGTAGTAACATCAAAGTTTTGGTATAATTTTATTTGTTTATGTTTACACAGGGTAAAGTAGAGAGTATTACTTTATACATGTAACTTTGTCTTATTTGTATGTATGTACAATTAGTGTAACTGCTGATGCTATTTTTTCATTTAGGATAAAATACATTTACCCGAAGGAGGGGAAATTGATTTTTAGCCATGAGCCCAAGGTTGGGGATTATTGTTGTTATTTCTTTCCTCTTGTGGTGGTCCAAATTGCCTCCTGAAATGCTGCTTCTGTGGAATGAGGGACCCAGAGGTACAGCTGGGGGGGGGGGATCAAAGGTACCTGCAGGATTTGTAAAAAATGCCCCTCTCATTATATATTTATGTGCAATCATGTTGCAAGCAATTTATGGCAATTTCAGCAAGGGGCTTTCAAGGTATGTGAGAAGCAGAGGTGGTTTGCCATTGCCTTCCTCTGCAGATCTTCCTTGGTGGTCCCCCACACAAGTACCAATCCTGCTTAGCTTCCAAGACCTGGCAATGCCACCTTCCTCTGTCTTTGTGCCTGTGCAAATCTACACAGGATCAAAGCCAGCATCTCAAATTTGATAAAGCACTGTATTTGAAAATACAACAACAAAAATCTGTTTCAGTTGAGACTTACTACTTGGGTATCTCGGGAGGGTTCTCAGGATGATGTGTATTGGTGCATGGCAGAAAAAATAATTCCATCCTCAATGTGAACACCTTGCTGTGGTCATAATTTTGTTAACAAATTAAAACTAGTGCTATCATAATATTACACCATTTCTTCCATTACAATATTTCCTACATTATGAGATATCCAGATAATGTCACCCAGAAGTGACATCATCATGCTGGGCACGTCATGCAGGGGATGCTCTTGAATTTGGCCAAAAACTCCATGTTCACCATAGAGTTTTTAGCCAAATGCTAGAGCATTCCCCGTGCAATGTGCCCAGCACAATGATGTTAACTTCAGGTGATGTCATCATGCTAGACACATCGGGCGCAACAGGGCTCTTGGGGGGTGGGGCTTCCCCCACCAGCTAGTTGGCCGGTGGTGGATTGGGGGCCCTGAAGGTGGGGGAAACCCTGATGAAAACTCTAGGTATCATTCCATAAAGTCCACCCTCCAAAGCAGCTATTTTCTCCAGGGGAACTGATCACTGCAGTCTGGAGATCAGTTGTAATCTAGGAGATCTCCAGGTCTCACTTGGAGGCTGGCAACCTTAGCAGGCCTCCACAACACTGTGACAGACAGAAGGCTGTCCCGCCCCTGAGAGGAGAACAGCTACTCACTACGGGAGTGCTACTTCAGCCTGTCGCAAACACATCTGTCAAAAGGCACATAGTTAAAAAGGGGGAAATCTTTATTTTTACTGAATCGAGCTATTTAGGTATGTCGACTGTTATTTTTTCAGTGAGCCAATTAGCACAATTGCATCAGGACAGCAGGAATATTGCCTAATGGTAAAGTGTAATGGTATCAAGGTTGGGTTTTGTTTTGTTTTTTAATTGAAATGGTGACTATTGGAAGCAGTACAGGAGCTGGCAACTACAATAACCCAAGTTGCACCACCTTGGCCTTCTAAAGGCTACTGCGTAAGTGCAGAGTTAGCCAATGTGAACATTGGCCATCAAGGGTATCTGATCTGGAGCTCATCTCCTGTCAAATGGATGGAACTGTAGAGTTAGTTCACCTGGTGAACTATGTTTGTGTCAACCTATCACCTGCAACCATACAAGACTAGCCAGGTAGGTTGGATGGTAGTACAGAGTTAAGGCAATTTCCTCTTTTGGAGGTCCCTGGATAGAGGTCTTGCTTCATGGTTAGGGCAGGCTTTAACCAATCTCTACTAATATTCTAATAACCAGAGGGGACATTTTTCTTGACTTTCCCTTGTTATCACATAGATTCCCTCATATCATACTGGCATCTTTCACACGGTGATCTCTGGAGTGGACCACTATACTGTAGATCTAATTTCATTTTTAAGGAGGCATGGCGGTCCCCAAGAACTGACTTTATAACCTTGCCACTTTCTCAATCTGCTTCATCAACTGTCTCTGTAGTTAATATTTTGCTTTTTCTTTTTTTTTAAATAGCTTTCATGCACATATGCTTTTCATCCAGAGTGTGTTAAGTGCCATCAAGTCAGTTTGGTGTAGTGGTTAAGTGCGCGGACTTTAATCTGGGAGAACCAGGTTTGATTCCGCACTCCTCCTCTTGCAGCTGCCGAATGACCTTGGGCAAGCCATAGTTCTGTCAGAGCTGTCCTTGAAAGAGCTCTCTCAGCTCCACCCACCTCACAGGGTGTCTGTTGTGGGAAGGAGAAGGGAAAGTAGTTTGTAAGCCGCACTGAGACTCCGAGTGAAGGGCGGGGTATAAATCCAATCTCTTCTTCTTCTTCTTCTGACTTATGACGACCCTATGAATGAATGACCTCCCAAATGTCCTGTGGTTAACTGCCTTGCTCAGGTCTTGCAAACAAAGGGCCATGCCTTCCTTCACTGAGTCAATCTATCCCATGTTGGGTCTTCCTCTTCTCCTGCTGCCTTCAAGTTTTCCTAGCAGTATTGTCTTTCCCAGTGAGCCTTGTCTTCTCATAATGTGACCAAAGTATAGTAGCCTCAGTTTAGTCCTACACACTACGAATTTTCCTTAATTATCATATAATAGTATACTTTCTCATTTGCTCATCAGATCACATATATATTCCTAATGTGATTAAGGTATTACAATGTATTTTTACATGATAATGTATAGTTGCTGAAGATACTTGGTAGGACGATCCACGTACACCATTTATATTTCAGGAATGAAAAAAATGCCACAAGTGTCATGGCCGTGGCCGATATAAATGCAGTGGGTGTCATGGTGCAGGAAGGGTGAGTAGTATCAGTTGATTCTTTCCTATGGGCAATGTAAACCAGGCTTGTTCACCAAGGTGGCAGACCTTTCTTTAGGATGCGCTATTTCAAACTGCAAGTGCAGATTCATAAGAAAGAGTGCCCCTCCCCCCGATTTTTACACATAGAAAACTAGTATTTGAGGGGCAACACTTGGCTAGAACTCTTTTCCCTGGTACACTGGAATTGGTGATCGGTATCGGTAATGTGATTTGTAGGCAAGAGTTACTGATTGCCACTGTGGGGCAATCAAAAGGAAAGGGGATAAAAAAAAACATGTCCTCATTGGACAGTGCTACCAAGTGGCAGTGAAGGCAAGAGCTGATTCAGCCAGCACCATGCAAATATGTAGCTGCTGACAAGGTAACAGTCTTCACAGCTACACTTGGGGTTGCTAGCCTATCAGCAGCATTGTGCTTGCTTGGTGTCATCCTATGCACAGTTATACCATACCAAGCCCATTGGGCTTTGTTTCTTGCTGCTTCCGCTGCCACCTCCTGACAGGATCTGTTGGCCCTTCCCCTATAGCGTTATGCAGTGGCCGTGTCCACTTTGCACCAATGAACGCCAACAGCTCTCACTGCCAGTGAGGAATATGGGTTGAAGTGTTTCTTTTGGCATTTCTCCCCACCAACCTAACTAAATCTGTGTCTATAGTATTACAATAATAGGGAAAGTGAGGCCATATACAAAACACATGCTGAGTTATGTTGGATGGGAAGGCATTTTCGGACATTTTGGAAACAGAAGACTTGGAGAAGACATTCTGTTTATTTTGTACTCCTTTAGATGAGGTGTGTAACATGCTGTGGAGCCAAACATAGATCAAAATATCAGAAACGGTGCCAAATGTGTTCAGGTACTGGTCGTAAAAGGTAAGATGCTACCATACAGATTTATTTATTTTTTTGCTATGGGAGTTTTTAGGATATTACTTTATTAGTAAATACATGGGACCATTTGTGCTAGTCAGCAATGATAGTAGTTTGGTACCCAGAGATTTCTTTTTCAAAAAAATTTTGGTGAGCTGTTTATACCTGCTATCTAAGTTATATAAGCCACACTCCACAAAGGAAACTGTCCACCATTTGCACACGTACCTTCGAGCTGGCTCTCAGCAAACCTCTGAGACTCCATGGTGCAAAACACAGTTGGAATTTCGGTGCAAAGTGAACTCAGAAAGTGTCTCAAAGCAACACTTTGAGACATTTGTCCATTTGTCATTAGGAGTGTATGGGCCCATTTGGTTCCATAAGAATTTGGCTCTGAAGAAGAAACATAGTCAAAACTCTCACGGCCGACAAGAGAAGTCAGCCAGCCTGTTACAGCCTCCTTGCAGACCTGGAAGTTGGCAACTGAGAAAAAATTAAGAAGACCACAGTGTATCTATGGACTGTGTATAGCCTATTCATTGGTCTGACTGGGAAGGCTTTCTGTGTATTTTTCTAAGCCTTAGTGTTAAATGTTATAAGCTACAGTGGAGCAGCAGTCTCTTACAGCCTCCATACAGACCTGGAAGTTGGCAACTGGGAAACAGCCAAAGAGACCCAGTGTATTCAGGACTGTGCACAGCCTATTCTTTCGTCTGTCTTTTGGAAGGCTCTCTTTGTATTATTAGTCTTTGTAGTTAAATAGTCCTATTAGAGGAGCTGACTGGAACATTTATTCATGTATTGTTTTTGATTTATACATTGTGTTAAACATACGCCTTTAAAAAAACCTTGAGTGGTAGCATTTCACGGGATATTTTGTGGTTGTTACACTGAGTGCAGTATCTCCGTGGTCCCGCTGTGTTTATTGCTGACTAGGTGAAATAGAAATTTAAAGACAGCACAGGAAAAATGGAAGATGCAAACAGAGCGTGACTGCCTACATTATGGCACCATTAGCCAGAACTGGCTTAGTTGTTTGGGACTGAAAGTTGGAGAATATACAATTTCCTTCACTTCCTCTACATCAGGAGTTCCTAACTTTTTTGAGTCTGTAGGCACCACTGCCATTTTGATAAGGTGTTATGGTTAAGAGCAGTGGACTCTACTCTGGAGAACTGGGTTTGATTCTCCACTCTTTTGCATGCAGCCAGCTGGGTGACCTTGGGTCAGTCACAGTTCTCTCAGAGCTATTCTCTCACGAGCAGTTCTCTCAGAGCGCTCTCAGCCCAAGTTACCTGACAGGGTGTCTGTGGTGGGGAGAGGAAGGGAAGGTGATTGTAAGAAACTCTGAGACTCTGAGTGAAGGGCAGGGTATAAATCCAATTCTTCCTCTTCTTCTTCAAAATGGCTGCCACAGGAGGTGGACCCAGGAGGTGGACCCAGGAGGTGGACTAGGGTTGCCAGCTTCCAGGTGGGGCTTGGGGATCTCCTGCTTTTACAACTGAACTCCAGATGACAGAGATCAACTCCCCTGAAAAAAATGACTGCTTTGAAGGGTGGACTTTATGGCATTGTGCCATGCTGAGGCCCCTCCCCTCCCCAAACCCCACTCTCTCCTGGATCCACCCCCAAAGTCTCCAGGTATTTTCCAACCCAGACCTGGCAACCCTAAGATGGACCCAACCTCAAAATGTCAGTTATGGTAGCAGCTCTTCAACATGGCAGCCAACATGGTATAGTAGTTAGAACATTGCACTAAAATCCGGGAGACTCAAATTCAAAACCCCAACCTGCCAGCAATGTTATATCAGTGCCGATTGGAGTTTTGAATTTGAGTCTCCCGGATCCTAGTGCAATGTTCTAACTACTATACCATGTTGGCTGCCATGTTGAAGAGCTGCTACTGAGAGGCAAAATCAGGGGAAGGCCTTGGCCTCTATGCCCTGTTGTTGGGCCTACAGAGGAACTGGTTGATTAATGTATGGGACAAGATGCTGGACTAGACAGACCACTGGACTGATCCAGCAGGGCTCTTCTTATGTTCTTAGGTTGTTGGGTCTTCAGCCAGTCACATACTAATAAGCCTTAACCTACTTTACAGGGTTGTTGTAAGGATAAAGTGGAGTTGATAATGTTGCAAGACACTTTGAGCCCCCAGTGGGGATAATAGTGGGCTATAAATGACATATATAAGTAAATAAATACATATTTTAGGCAAAGGTCTTGAGAAGTGCTGTTCAAAAGGATGCCGAGCCTGTGCTTTGCTAGTGAGCTATAGGCCCTTCCTATCACAGGCTTTGCAAAAGGATGATTACCTCAGTAGTTCCAGTTAAATGCATTGAGGGTGTCAGCTGTGCAGTCCAATCCTGTTCAGTCAGAAGCAAGTCCCACTGTGTTTTTTATTTTATTTTATTTATTTATCCTTCGGCTTGATATACCGCCCTAACCCCCGTAGGGGTCTCTGGGCGGTTTACAGTTCTTGGGTGCTAATCACCTATATCGACCCTAACTACGGCCACACATTGGTACAAGGGGGGGGAATTCCCTACCGACACCCTAGGTGAAAGCATTCCTCGGCTCGGCTTCTTCTGGCTGCACGATGTCCGGTGCTCAGGCAGATGGGTGTGTGTGTGTGTAAGGAACGCCGGCGACGTCGTCCTCGGCCCGACCATGTCCTTTTCGGCTCCACGCGCCTCCGGATGACGTCACTCAGCCTCCGTCGACGGCAGCAGCCTTGTTCTTTCACTGCTGGCCACCAGGGATCAGCCAGGCTCTGCTCGCCGCCGCTTGCCGCCTCTCAGCATTGCGCCGCCTCCTCCAATCGCCACCGCCGCTGCTCCGCTGCCGCCGCTGTTCTCGCCGCCGCTATCGCCGCCATTGCTGCCAGTGCCGCTGCTTCTCCACACACCTCCATAGACGGAGGAGGGTGCCCCCCACCCTACTAAGGGTGGGTACCCATTTATCTACTCGCCGATAGATAGTTACTTGGCTTTCGAACCGCTGGGTGGGCGGGAGCTAGGACTAAGGGTCGAGAGCTCACCTCGACCACGGTGGGACTCGAACAGGTGCTCGAGTAGATGTTAAATGCAGGTGTTATACTCCCTGCGCCACCGCTCCCTTAAAAAACTACACTGTTTTAGTTTTGGACAGGTAAACCACTTTTTAATATAAACTTTACACTAGAAACACCAGGAACTCAGTCCAGATCTGCACTGTGATATGATGATGATACAATAAAACCCCACAGAAGTAGTTTACACTGGCATATAATGGGGAAAGCCTAAGAAGGGAATTCATTTTCTTATCTCTCTCTCTCTCTCTCTCTCTGACACACACACACACACACACACAAAAGTGGGGGAGGAGACTGCTTCTGCCTGTTCACCTCATACCTCTGTCAGATTCCTGGTCCCCTCCCTGCAATTAGTTTGTTTTTCTCTCCCAACCACTACCCCATTCAAGCCAGCAATCCTACAGAAGGGCTCTTCTTTCATCCCCAGGTGGGGATGCCAGCTTCCAGGTGGGATCTGGGGATCCTGTGGAATTACAGCTCATCTCCGGACTGCATAGATCAGTTCCCCTGGGGGAAATTGATGATTTGGAGGGTGGATTCTATGGCATCGTACCCCACTGAGGTCCCTGCCCTCCCCTGGCTCCATCTCCAAATCTCCAGGAGTTTCCCAACCTGGATCTGGCAACATTATCCCCCCTCCCACACCCCACTAGTGGCCAGGGTGGACCTGGCAACCCCAGCAGCATATAGGAAGAGAGCAGGCTGAAGAAAGAAAGGCTCTTTTCTTGTCCTGGCAGTGGCAGCAGCCCAGCTTGCACAGCAGAGGGAAGGGCTTTTCTCCCATTCCCAGCAGCAGTACCTGAGGCAGGCTCGTAGCTACAGTGGGTCATTTCAGGGCTCTGACCCCTCAAATGTGAGACATGCCCCACAACAGCTGCTGCCCCTCCCCCTCCCCTCCCGTGACATTAAAAGGGACTTCCAGCTGATTGGCGGAGCATGTGGCCTGCCAATCAGATAGAGGGTCCTTTAAATCTTTCAGCTGCCCCTCTCCCTCCCCTTCTCCAAGATTTAAAGGGCCCTCCAGCTGATCAGCGGGCCCTTTAAATCATGCAAGAGGTGAGAGAGAGGGGTGGCTGCCGGCTGCATACCTTCCTTGAACTCCAAGCAGTGAATTCGCCACTTGGAGTTCAGGCGTATGCAGCCCCCCAACCCCCCCCCCAGCATTTAAAGGGAACCCTTTAAATGCTATTGTTCCAGCAGGGGCTGCCCACTTCAGGGAAGACATGTGGCTGCCCCTCTCCCTTCCCCCTCCCCTGCTGCCCCACAACATTTCCCCAAGCCCCACCAACCCAAAATTTCTGGCTATGGGGCTGACCTGAGGTGAGGGCCTTCTCTGCCTTGGCCCCCACCTGATGGAACATGTTCCCCATCGAGATCAGGGCCCTGCAGGATCTTAGTTCTGCAGGGCTTGCAAGATGGAGCTGTTCTGCCAGGCTTTTGGTTGAGGCAGCTGGCGTCCACCTATGGCCTCCCCGAGGTTGCCATCTCCTACCTACCGGCCATCCATCTATCAGCAACCGGCCATATCCATCTGTATTAATGGGTTGGAACTTTCACCAGTAGCTATAACTATTGATTTTAAATGTATATACTGTGCTTTTAAACTTCATTGTATTGTTGAAAGATGACATGACCCGCCCTGAGCCCACTTTCGGGATGGGCGGGATACAATACGAAAAATAAATAAATAGAATAACACCACCAGCTTGCCCTGAAGCAAGAAAGTCTTCTCTCATCCCTGCAGCAATGGTGGCTCCTGGGGCAAGAGCAAGCCAACTGGCTTGCATGGGGAAGGGTTTTTCTCTAATTCTTGGCAGCGATGGGGGCTGGACCAGTATAAGCAGGGGCCAGCTTATGCAGAGGATAGGGCTAAGGCAGGTAGCAGTTTATGTAGTCATTCAGCAAAGATGCTCTTGCTGTGGCTGCTGCT